GGGAGAGAGAAGGGGGAGGGGAGGGAGGCATTGTGGGCGGAGGGGAGGGCCTCGAAGAAGAGTCGGAAGAGGGTGGCGAGGTGGCGCGTGTAGGCAGCAAGGATGTCTGGCTGGAAGTAGTGGGAGTAGCTGAGCCCCAGGCCGCCCTGCGCCACGCCGAGGGTGTTGTTGTGCGAGGGGTGGAGGTTGTTGTAGGTCACCCCGGCTGTCAGCACCCCCTCCACCCCCCACCGATGAAGGTGCGCCATCCGCACACTCAGCCCCTGCCCCTCCCCCTCTCTCCCTCTCACCATGCCCTCGTCCGCCTCGATCTCGCCCGGCCACAGCAGCAGAAACCCCAGTTCGGGCTGCTTGCTGAGGAAGTTCAGCAGGGGGGCCGCCCCGAGAGAGTCAAGCTTGTCGGTGTCCATGCAGGCCTGGTAGTAGCAGTGGAGCATCCCGTCCCAGCCGTCAGTCGCGTAGTGGGTGGCGGCGGCGCTTTTGGCTTTGATGACCGTCGTGCTGGTCTTGCCACCGCCGCTGGGAGAGGGGCTGTGCGAAGGGCTGGTGGTGGTGCCGCTGCTGCTGCACTGGCCGGACTCTAACAGATCCTTGAGCATGTGTCTGTGTGCAGCAAACAGACAGGGGAATGGAGGGATGGATGGATCACTGCGATCTGGGGTCTCGTGTGTGTGTGTGGGTGGGTGGGTGGGTGGTGCTTACTGGTTCTCCTTGTACACACTCGTGAACGACTTGGTCCACGCGGCATAGTCAGGGGGCAAATCGAACGTCTTCAGCCAATGCCCACACGCCCACTCATAAGGATCCTACACACACACACACACACACACACAAACCGACAGCAGTGTCTTCGTCTCCCTCCTCTCCCCTCCCCTGCCTCTCTTTCTTTCTCACGTTGCAAGGGTCCTCCGTCTCATTGATGGTCATGAGTGCAATCCCAGCAGCCACAGTGCACGTGGGCGTCACGCAGGGGTACCTCCCCCAGCCCCCCCGGCCGAACGAGGCGTAAGGCTCGTTGGATGACGTCGTGTGCGGCAGCTGCGCGCCGTCCAGGTTGTTGGGCGACTTGAGCACCACTACCACCACCAGCAGCGCCAGAAAAAAGAAAAACAGCCCCGTTATGCACCTGCACCGACGCAGGCAAACAGAGAGAGAGAGGGAGAGAGAGGGAAAGAGAGAGAGGGAAAGAGAGAGCAGCGCGTCAGTCAGTCAGTGTGTCGGTGAGGTGAGTCACTCAACAGACAGACAAGGACGTACCAAATGAGCACTCGGGTCTTATAGTTGGCCGCCGCGCTATTGGCTGGCGGCCCGTAGGCATGGCCGTGTCCGACGTCATAGTGCCCGCCCAGACGAGCATTGAGGGGGACGTGCTCCTCGTGGCCCGTGTGGTGCTGGCTGGCCTGGTAGTGGGTGTTTCTGTACCCCCGACTCCAGTCGCCGCCCCTGTGGTCCCCCCCCACCTCGTACTCGTCCGCCTCCTGCGAGTGCGGGTCGCTCGACGGCACCTCTGTGGGAACTCGGCTGCGGTGGTGGGCTGACTTGCCGTCTGACACATATCGACAAACAAACCGCGCCACGCGGATCATTGAATCAAAGCCACGCCATGCATCAGTGCGTGTTTCTGACTGACCCACCTGCGTCGGTGTATCTTGCGTCGGCCATCTCGAGGACGCGCTCGGACCTCCTGCCGGCGACGGTGGCTTTGGCCGGCTGCAGGTCGCCTCTCAGCAGCGCGCTCGCGTCGTCCTCACCTGATGGCGATTGATCCTCTGCCACTTCTCGCAACATCACCAGAGCATCGCGCTTGCCTCCCTAGTCTTTTTCGTTTGTTTCTTGCGCGATCCATCCCAAGCTCGCACTCGCAGCTAAGCTCGCAAATCGGTGGGCAGGGAAGTCCCGCTGCTGTTGCGGTGTCGTTCGTCAGCCTCATCCCACGAGTGTGTCCAGCATTGCATATCAGCTCAAGAGTTCCATCGTCATGCGAGCCAATCTGTCGCCCATCGGCCGTCCAGCGCGTCTCATCTGCTTCGCCCTTCTCCCCTTCCCCGACTCCCTGCCAGTTTGAGCTCACCAGCTACTGACGCCCATCCTCGAGTGCAGCTGATCTGCCTGCCGCCGCGAATCGACGGCCGGACGGCGAGGCGAGGCGCATACACCGTAGTGTCTCTCTCGCGGCGCTGTGCTCGTCGGGAGGGGTGCCATCATCACTTGAGGACGGCAAACGGGACCGATTCGGGACAGTACACTGCAGTGGGGGGCGTGGAGGACCAGACGTCTTGTGCTGCTGCGAAGGTGCTGATCTTGCTGTGCGGCCGCCCGACGGTGAGCGGAGAGGCAGGTTGCAATGCAATAAGGGTGTTTGCAGTGCACCCACTCAATTGCAGATGGAGTGCATGACTGTCTGTGTGAATGTTATGTGTCTGTCTGTTCCCCTGACTGGTTCGGTTCAGGTGTGTGTGTTGGCTCCCCGTCCGCATCGCTGACTGAGTATGCATCACCCGAGCCCCTCTTCCTTCAACCGCCCTCCTGCTGCGAGCGGTGATGCATCTGGTGGTGCTCCTCCCCGGCCCCCCGCACCATCCCCTTCTCCCTCTCTGGCTGGTTCTGGTCCTGGTTCTGGCTCTGGCCGGCCGCCCATGCGTCCTCCCCTCGTCCCACCGCAGATGTTCGCCCAGCCATTCATGTACCCATCGCCATTCCACCCCTTCCCCATGATGGCATCGACGACAGCAGCAGTAGGAGCAGCACCGACATTGCGGCCACCGGCGACAGCGACAGCGCCAGCGATGCGGCCGCCCACTGCCACGACGGCATCGATGCGGCCGCTGCCCGCGACGTTCGTCACTTTTGGAAGGTCGGTCAGTCAGTCAGTCAGTCAGTCAGAGGGAGATTGTTTTTGTGATTGGGGGGCGAAACGACGTGTGTACAAAAATGCATTGGTGTGATGTGATGTGTCAGGCCATCGTTCCGCGCCATTCGTCTGCCCACGATGCTCCGTTCCCCCCCGCCGCCCCCGCGGAAGCCGCCAAGCAACAAGGCGTCGAGCAAGGCATCAACAAAGGCATCGAGCAAGCCACGGGCGGCGGGGAGAGGTCGCGGGTCGGCCACTCACCGACCCCCATCCAGACCCGCGATGGACCGGCCGCAACCCAAGCGGCCCCCGCCACGGCGGCAGCAGGAGGCAGATGTCGGCGACACGAGCTCACGTGAGTCGTCGCCACTGCATTTGAGCGGCCAGCTGCAGCGTCCGAGGGGCAGGGACCCCAACGGTCGGTCGTTCCGGACATCGCACCCGCCCGCGCGTCTCATCAAGGACAGGGCGGCCGAGGATGAACCAATGGGCGAGGGAAAGCGGCAGAGGCAGGGTGGCGACGGGCAAAGCGATGGAGGTGGTGGTCATTCGAGCCAGGATGGTGCTGGTGGTGGAGGGGCTGGCAGCGGCAGCGCGTCTGATGAGTCGTATTCGGTGGCTGCCGGGGGCAAGAGAAAGGCCACGAGAGGAAAAGGCGGAGTCGGCGGCAGCAAGAGCAAGCGAGACAACGACCAGGATCAGAATCAGAGCAATGGTGTGCGCGTGTCCTCCGACTCGCCTGTGTGGAAGCGGCGCAAGGGCCTCCTGCCACCTTTCCTGCCCCTCTCGGACGGCAAGGGCGTGGTATACCGTGCCGAGGGCGAGGTGGGTGATGGCTTGGCGTGGCAATACAGCATGAGGACGCCTGACGGCAACCTGACCAGGCTTGTCAGCAACTTCTGTGTGCGGGACGAGGCGGGCCAGTTCGCCCCGATCGAGTCCCTGGTAGGTAGGGTGAGTGGGGCCAACACACTTGGCGCGTTTCATCTCCTCTGTGTGTGTTGATGTGTTAATGTAGGATGACGCAGAGCAGAAGGGCAAGCTGTGGTTGTACGCCCATCTGGTGCCCTTCAACTACACCAAACCTGACAACCAGCAGCAGCAGCAGCAGCAGCAAGAGGGTGGTGTAGCAGCAACAGCAACCAGGGACATAGGTGTCGAGGGTGAGATTGGCGGAGAGAAAGACAAAGACAAGCCGGGGCAGAGAGAGCAGGCAGAGGGCGGCGGAGATGACCACAACAAGGGCAAGGATGGTGATGGTGGTGGCGGTGCCGGTGCGGGCCAGCCGCCGACCTCGCCACCACTGATGCCGTGGATACCTGTCAAGGCGCGCATCGCGGACTGGTAACTTCACACAATGAATGTACAAGCAGAGAATACCGCCACACACATGCCCTCTCTCCCTCTCTCCACGTGCGTGTGTGGTACACTCAGGTGCATCGACTACGGCCTGTCTTGGAAGGACGAGCCGTCTCTGTGGCTGGTGTCCGACAGCGACACATGGTACCGCATCGACAGCGGCCTCGTCCACCCCGACTACGGCCCCACCTTCCAGTCAGCCAAGCTCAAGTTCGCCGTCGTCACGCGCATCGTCAAAGCCCTCCTGCACAGGCCCAACGTCACCTACCGCCACCTCGTCGGCAAGCTCACCACCCCCGCACCGATCCACCACCAGCAGCCCTCTCAGTCGTCTTCTTCCGGCGGCCAGGCCGACCCCAATATGACTGGGTGGGGGGAGCCGCTCTATGTGTCCGGCCTGCAGAGTGAAGAGGACATCTACGAGATGAGCGACTTCCTGCACAGCCAGCTGAAAGACATCGAGGCGCCCATACCCACACAGGAGAGCGGAAAGCCGGCAGGCCCAGATGGGAACGATGCTCCTCCCGCGGATGCGGGAGCCACCATGGCGGCTACGTTGGCGGGCACGGCTTTTGCGCAGACGCTCCACACGCGGAGCGAGAAGTGGGTGACCAAGGGGCGCAAGAGAGCAACCGCCACAACCAGTGGGAAGGCGGCAGCAACCACCAGCACCAGCGGCAGCGCTCGGAGGGTTCGCCGGATGCCTGGCAAGGAGGAGGGGGACGAGCTCGAGATATCGCTCAACGACCGACAGTCGTTTCCTATGGCGCTAAAGCTGCCTGTGAAGATCTACCCCCACACGCCACTCATCGGGATCTGGTCAGTCTTCCAGTCAGCACACCCCAACAGACAGATGCACCCACTGACACTGGCTGTCTCGGTTTTGCCTTTGATTTGATGTCACTCACAGGGAGTTTTGCCGGACCTTCCGGGGCATGTTAGACTTCCAACTGAATGCCTTCATCCCCGACCCCTCCAGAGAGCCGACCTCCGCCACCTCACCACCACCACCACAGGCACTCATCCTCTCGCCCCCCTCACACCCACCCCTCTCTCTGCAAGACTTCCAGACAGCCCTTGTCGACACACCCCTCCCCCCTCATGCTCCTGCTGCTGGTGTGTCGACGCCCGGCGTCACCAAGGACACGCCCATTGACGTGATGCTGGTCGCGCACCTGCGGCCGCCTTTATTGGATCAGCTGGCTTGTCGGCTGCTCAACCTCTACCTGTGGAGCATCTCCCCGCAGGAAGATGCTGCTGCCGCTGAGGGGAGGAGCAAGGAGGGCGGAGGGAAGGTCAACAAGGCCGCCGCAGACAAGGAGAGGAGAGAGAAGAGGAAAACAACAAGCCTTGCCAGCGGTGCCATCCCGCCGTTCCTGCGCATCTCCCAAGCGCCGATCCGGTCGTGGATGCTCTCTCGCGAGCTCCTGCAGCGGCAGCAGGAGAAGGGGGCCGACAGCACCATCAACACGGGACCCCTGCACACCTTCACCAAGCGGCTCCTGAGTCACTGGTTCTTCGCTCGTGCGGACGGGTGGCAGCACTGGCTGAGCGAGCTGACGTGGCCAGCGGTGCTGCAGGGGGTGCTCTTCGACGCCATGTACACGCCAAGGGCAGTGGGGGGCGGTGGGGGTGGAGCGGACAGAGGCAAGAGAGAGCGCTCTGACGACCCAGATGGCGATGTGATGATGGAGGAAGAGACTAACAGCATTGACGAGCAGCAGGAGGGCGAGAGGGAGAGGGAGAGGGAGAGAGAGAGGGAGGGGGATGAGACGGCCACGGCGGCAGTGAGAGAGACGAGGGCTGTCGGGGGGCTGAAGGAGGAGGGCGATCGTGAGTACCACTTCGAGTTTGACGAGGATAAGGCCATCAGCAAAGGGCTCGACCCGCCACAGAGATACCACAACATTCTCGTCAAGCTCAAGTACGCCACCCACACCCACACGCACACAGCCCCACACACGCACACATACACGCATGGATGTCTCTCTCTCTCTCTCTCTCTCTCTGGTCGCCAGCTGTGGTGGCTATTCCTCTCTGAGTGTGGTGGACCGTCTTCTGACCTTCCAGTGGCTGCTGGACGAGGTGGCCTGCGGCTCCCCCTCCCTCCCTCTCTACAAGGACTACCTCCGCCTTCGCACCGACCTCCAACTGGACATCCAGAAGCTCATCTTCCCCAAGCAGCAAAGGGACCGGGACAAAAAGGACAAAGACAAAGACACCACAGCTGCAGCTGCCGGTGGTGGTGGGGCTGACAAGGGTGGTGACACCAACCAGCCCGCCGCGTCGGACGCCCCCTCTCAGCCGCCCACCCCCAGTCCTCAGCTGCAGCGCGCCACCTCCACACCACAGGCATCCCCATCAGTCAACAGAGGCAGCCAGAGCGCCAAACGAGGCAAGCCGGCCGGCACAACCAAGAGAGGGCGGGCCAAGGCCAAGCCGAAGGCAGGTCGTGGGCGGAGCAGATCCTCCTTGCTGGACGAGTCGCCCGTTGCCATGGAGACCGACACGTCACCGAAGACGAGCGAGGCGCAGCCGAACGGCGTCCTCAGCGACCAAGCCACACTGACCATCCCTCCCCCGCCAGAGAGCCTCCTCACGCCCCCTCCCCCGCCCCATCAGGACACCAGAGACGAGGATGACATCATCCCGCCGCCCAAAGCGCCCAGCGGCCACATGAAGCGGGCGGATCTGCTCGCAGCTTTGGGGGAGGAGGGGGAGCGCGTCATTGGTCAGATAGCTGGTGGGTCGATGGCCGAGGAGGCGTGGAACGGCGTGGGCAGTCGCCATGGCTGGATACCCTTCCTTGATCTCAGCAAGGGAAAGGCCAAGAAGGGAGAGGCCGACAAGGACAAGGAGAAGGACAACATCGAGGAGGCTCCGACGGAAGACCACCCGGTGCTGCGGGTGCTGAGCCACGCCCCTGACCTCGCTGTGCGGGCCGAGCCGATCGGCCAGGACAGATACCTCAATCGGTGAGCAGCAACAGACACACAGAAGACGCCTGCATCGATGGCTGGATGCTCTCACTTGCAGGTACTTCTACTTCGGTGCTGAGATGGGCTGCAGCCGGGTCTGGGTGGAGCTGGACCGACCTTCAGGCACAGAGTGGCGCCGCGACGATATGCAAGACACCGACGCCCTCATCAGAATCCTCCGCAAGAAGCTCATGCCCAACAGCACCGAAGACGACACCACCGCCACCACCACCACCACCGAGCAGCAACCCACAAGCAGATCCCCCTCACCCTCGTCAAAAGAGCCCGTCGGCCGTCTCGGTCAGAGAGGCCGCATTTTCGACTCTCGGAGAGGCATCTCATCGGCCGTGCGTGACGGCGAGAGAGAGCGGTTTGTGAGGGGGCCGCTGGGGGCGCACGAGGGCGGCGAGAGCGCGAGTGCGAGCGAGGCGTATGGCGGGTGCTGGGGGTACATCGATCTCGATGAGGATGGGGGCATGGGGCGGCTGCAGCAGCTCATTGCATCGCTATCGAGCGTCACAAAACGGTGAGCAGGGGGGAGAAGCGACGTTTGTCCACAGATACACAGCGGCCGTGTCGTGTCCGCGTGTGCGTGCGTGTTGTCTTGTTGTCTTATTGTCTTACTTTCCTTTTTGCGTGCAGAGAGTCTGCTCTTAAGAAGGCCCTGACGACCGTCCAAGAGGCCACGCTTCAGCGGCGGAAGCGCCCCCCCTCGCACCCCCCCTCCCACACCCACTCGTCAGCCACTGCCGACGTCCCCACACCCAGGCCCCCAGAAGACAACAACGGCAAGGAAAAGGCCAACGGTGTGGCGGACAGCACACACACCCCCGAGCCCATCGCACCACTGGCCACACGGAGGGTGGGTCACCATCGTCACCGCGATCATGTTGAGGCGGCTCGTCCGTGGTGGGTGTTGCGTGTAATGGCGGTGGTGCACCATCTGCTCGAGGTGGAGAAGCTGGTGCTGGTGCCGATGTGCTATGACCTGTGGAGGGAGGCAGCCGACGCACTGGACAACCAACGGGAGGAGAAGAAGACGATGGATGAAGCCGTCAGGCAGTTCTTGGTGGGGTCGGGACGATGGGGAACGGCGAAAAATGTCATGAGAGTGGCGCTCCTTTCGTGTGTCTGCGTGTAGGACGAGTGGCTGCAGCCGATTCGCGACATGTGTGAGTGGGTCGCCAGATGGCCCGTCTACGAGCAGCAAGGCATCACACCACAACAAGTCATGGTATGAGTGCATTCACACACACACACACACACAGACACACAGAGAGATGCCTGCATCCATCAGTCAGTCTCTCTGTGCCTGTCTGTCTGTCTGTCTGTCAGGCGCCCACTCGCACCTGTCTGGTCTACCTCAACAACCTCTTCGACACCCACCCCTACCTCTCGTCCCTGCGCAGCACACACCGCACCGCCGCATCCACACCCACATCCCCATGGCCGCCATTCCGACCACAGGCGTGGCTGCAGCTCCTCAACGACACCAGCCGACTGATACTCGCTGACGCGCCTTCACGCCGTGTGGAGGAGGGTGTGGGGGAGGCTTCGGAGGGATGGGAGGCGCTTGACCATGTCGGGGTGATTGCATCTGCGTGGCACACACTGGCGCTCGACGATGTGAAGCTGAGGAACCTGATCAACGTGACCGATAGGACGGGCTATCAGCACTGCCGCGAGACGGCGCTGCTCTTCCCCCTCCCCACCCTCTCCTTGGCCGCCGCCCCCTTCGTCGAAATCCCCACAGAGGACACCCGCGTCTTCTACTTCAGGAGCGGCCACGCCATGCAGATCACCCACTTCACCCACAAGCACTACCACAGACGCTCGCACGCCCACCACGCCCCGCCATACCCCATCGAGCACTCAGTGCCTCACCACTCCGGCCACATCGAAGAGGCGGAGGTCGTCAAGGTGTTTTACCATCCCGGGGTGACCGGCTTGGTGCCGCGGGCGAGGGGGGAGGAGGACAGTGAGACCGAGCGGTTGGCGGCGCTGTTTGGTGCGCAGTATGGGCACAGCAGGACGCCGTTCGAGGGTCTGATGTCGTTGAGGGCTCGGCTGGCGTCGCTGCAGCCGCTCGAGAGTGAGGATGCGGGCAAGCCGGCCTCCCAGCCGATTCCTTATGTCAGGATATGGCTCAGATTCAACCCACGGTGAGTGAGTTTGTCGACCGAGCACAGGTGTCTGTCTGTCTGCTGTGAGACTCGCCGTCTCACGCTGTATGTGTGCGTGTATGAATGAATGCAATGCGTCAGGAGCCACCCCAGCCAGGCCGATGCGGTCGCTTCGTCTCTGTCGTCGCTATCTCAGCCGCTCACGCTGCCCCCTCACACAGAGGAGACCCCCGCCCAATCCCCCTCCCCCTCTCCATCACAGCCCCAGCCACAGCCATCCGTGCCATCCTCCTGCCCCTCCCCCTCTCCCGACAACGTCATCCCACCGCCCCCGCCTCAGGAAGGCCGACGGCGCGCATACAAGCCGCGAGGTCTCCCCGACAGGCTGGAGAGCGGGCTGAGCAGTCTCGCCAACGCGTCGAGCGACTCGTTGATGGTCGACGCTGACGGCCGGCGTCGGAGCAAGCGGCGGTCGACCATGACGGACAGGATGCTGCACCACCGGATGGCAATAATGGACCACAGCGAGTCGCCCACACACCACACAGAGAGGGAGAGGGAGAGGTTGCCGCCGTCAAGACGGTCGACACGGGGGCAGCTGGTGCTCGCCTCCGCTGGTGACGACATTGAGGATGGAGATGCCGTCATGGAGGACGCCAGCGAGAGAGAGGTGGTCAACCACGCCACGGCCATGGCCGATACAAGCTCGCCTTCACAGCAGCCGCAAGACACCATGATGCTGATCGACCAACCACCGCCACCCGTCAAATCTGAGGTCACGAGCGAGGCTCCCGACCCTTCCCCCGAATCGGTGCAGCTGCAAATGGCGGTCAGCGGCGCGGCGCGGCACCACCCACACCCGTGTGTCAAGGTAGATGTCAAGAAAGAAGAGACCGACACTGAGATGATGATGGCCCCTCCCGCCGTCAAGCAAGAGTCTGCCATGGTGGAAGAGGACAACGAAAAGGGTGTGGGTGTGGAGAGGGGCAAGAGGAAACGCCGAGGGCCGTATGGTGCATGTGGTGGTGTGGGTGGGCCGGGCAGCTCGGTTCGTGGTGTGTCGGGTCCTGTGTGCGAGGGGCCGCAGATGAGTGAGAGCCGGTACGCCATGGTGTGCGTGCCGCTGCACAGCCACATGCCCGACTTTATTGTACCCAGAAAAAGGTAGCAGGACGGACACAAACACCCACATGCATTTGTGCAGGGCCGTATGAAGGGGTGTGTGTGTGTGTGTGTGTGTGCGTCAGGGTGCTGAAGGCTCTGTCGAAAGGCTGCATGCCAGGGGTGAGTGGACTGCAGGAGAGAAATGTGTGAGGCGTCACGTCACGTTAATCATCCTTGGGGTGTGTGTGTGTGTATCTGTGTGTATTCAGCGTCGCTTCCGCATGGCCTGGAAAAACCTGCACGGACAGCCCATCGTGTATGGGGGCACCGTCAGAAAGGTAGGCACCCCCCCATCCATCCAATCCACCGATCCGATGTGTGTGTTCTCATGGGTCCGTCGTGTCAGGTCGACTTGTCCGGCGATCTGTGGGAGTCGGTGGTCGTCGAGTGGGACCCATCAGCCAACGACAAAGTCCCCACGACACACGGCGGCGGCAGAGGCCGCAAGAAGAAACACCCTCCCGCCCCACAACCGCCCCTCCAGACACAAGCCACCGACCAGGCTGCTGCCGCTGTTGCCGATGGCCAGCCGACCACCACCACCCTCACTCGCGAGAAGACAGACACGTCGCTGGGTGGTGGTGGTGGCCACGCTGTGGTGGGCGAGGAGGGCCGCGTCAACCTGTGGGAAATCGAGCTCGATGGTGCAGCTGACGATGGTGCAGCTGACGAGACATCGTCAGGGGCAGTGGTGGCTGGGTGAGGGATGGCGGCCTGCCTGCCTGCCTGCCTGCCTTAGTGTCGAATTAGCGGAGCCAGCCAGCATCGATGTGATGACGGTGGAGCCAGCCAGCCTCTTTTGGCCGTTCCTTAGTGAGTCTTGTTTGTATGGATGTGTGTCTAAGTATAGGTAGGGAGTATCTATCGTCCGTCCGTCGCTTTGGTTGATGCAAGCGTGCAGAGGTGCATGCCATCATGATGCATGCGGTGGGTGTCGTGTCGTGCTGTCGTGTGCCCCGTGATGTGATGCGATCGATGTGGTACTATACGACACAGCAAGCCAGCCAGCCATATACACACTCACACACCACACGACGACTGCCTGTCTCTCTCTGTCTCTCCCCCTTTGTGAGTTCGTTCGCTGACATGAATGGCATGTGCCTTACTATGTGCCTGTGTGCTCTGTTCCGCGGTGATCCTCCTTGGCTGTGCGCCAACAGGCCCTCACACACTGACCCCTCGATCCGATCCACTCACTGGATGTATGGGATGGCCAGGAAGGGTGAAACGACTTGGCTTTCAATGTGTCCCTCCCGTAAGTCTCTCTGTGTAATGTAAACGACCAACATCCATCCACATCAGCCCGTCCCTCCCTGGCAAGGGATGAATCTACAACACCAATCACCACATATAAAATGTAGGCAGTGATAGCCCCCACCCACCCGATCAGGCGCCGCCAGTTTTTGCACCGCTCTCGTTGTGCAAAAGATGAAACCGAAAGTAAAGCCGATGGCGATGATCTGGTCCACTGAGCTTGGGGCGTAGGCCACACGGGCGAGACATGTGCATAGAGCGTCGTCAGCAACACATAGGACAACCAGAGTATATATATAATGTAGGCAGACATCGAGGAAGACTGAGCGGCACACCCCCCGAATGCGATACTCAGCTGCACACAGGACCCGACGGCAAGTTGCTGTCTGATGGCTCGACGGCACTTCTCACCTCTGTCTTGCCGCTCCCTGTTGGCCCTGTCAGCAGGACGTGGCTTGGCTTTGTGGTCTTGCGGAGGCCATCGTCAGGTACATGCTGGCGAAGGCCCTCTGCAAACACCAATAGATACATGCGATGGAGAGACACACACATCGATCGCATCGTGTACGTGCCTTACGGAGGCAGATCGCCACGGCCTCCTTGGCGGCCTTCTGGCCGATTATGCAGTCGTCGAGGCCGGCGGGAAGAAGAAGCTCTCACTTTCCCCCTCGTTGACGGACAACATACAGACAGGACAACATACAGAGGTCCGCGGACTCATGCATGCAAGACATCTGCGGACCTCACTCACCTGGCTGCCACGAGTTTGGCCTTTTGGTCCTGCACGTGGCGCTTCCACACCATGTCCTTGCCGGCGTGGGAGACTTCGCACCAGGCGCTGCAGACTCTCTCAATCCGCCCTATGTCAGCCCCACTAGGCATGAACTGCATGATGCAGGTGAGCACCTCGGGCGGCAGCTGCGGGGGAGGGGGAGGGGGGGAGCGGGATGGCTACATACACACATACATACGGGGCACACGTGCATACATACGAGACACACACGCATATTGAGAGACACCGCAGGGCGTGGTGTACCCATTCAAACGCAGCATCCAGTCGGAGGAGGACCGCCGCAGCGCTGACACCCTCCCATTGTTTTCCAGAAGCCTTGTCCTCTAGTAGTTGTTTGAGCAAGGTCGTCTTGACGCCTTGGGAGTCTGCCGCGTTGTTGCACGCTTCACCCAAATAGCAAGGGGGCCAGACGCATTTGGAATCAAACACGTCAACGTCCGCCAGCATGGCACCCAGAGCAAGAAGATAGTCCCGAGTCGCTTCACACACTCATCGGCGCGCCCAGAGTCTGCCGGCCCAGAGCCCTTGTACCTGGCGATAGGCCAAGGGTCGCTCCCAGTAGGGTGGCTGCTGCTGCGGTGCGTCAGCCATCTCAACGTCGGGCACCCTACACCAAGAAAACAGACACAAACATCACACAGCCGATGTGTGCATGAAGGAACGCATGAATGGATCCATTGCCGCATGCATGGATGGATGGATAGATGGATTCACTCACCCGTCGTGCGGCTGCGGGCGAGCCACGCGGCGCTTGAGACGCCTGCGGCGCTGCAATGCATGTTGCATGTTGCATGTGTCCTTGTGGCCCTCAACGCTCTGCGTGTCCTTACGTCCGCGCACTCTGAGCACAGCCGCACCTTGTGGCGGGCTGCACACACACAGAACAGAAGACACACACATATACACACACAGGCAGGTCACCATACACACACACGTGTGCGAGGCGTGTGTGCATTCATTGCCTTCCCTCGAGGCACACTTACGCAGCTCATAGATGGCGAGGCAGCCGCACTTGACGCAGGCGGTGTTCACGTACTGCTCCTTCTTGGTGCCGGTGTTGAAGCGGCCCTCCAACGGCATCCCGTAGGTCACCCTGATTGATGCGATGCACAAAAACACGCACACACAGATGCACACGCATACAGATGTGCTGCCTACTGCCTTTCTCGTTTGGTTTCCCCCCGTCCATGGCTACCATGCGCCGGCGATGCTGGCCTTGTGCTCCTCAACTCTCTCCCCCCCACATGGTCACTGGATGCACCACTTGGGGCCGTCGACACTGACGGCCCCACACAAATGCACGGGCGGCCGCCACGCTCGAGCAAAAGAGCTTCTCGGACGCAGAAGTCTTGTCACCAGGCCATCAGAATATAAAATGTAGGCAGCGATCTGCACCCACGACAGCAGACATAAGTGCAGAGACACAATGCTCCCTACTTGAGTACTCACCTGCCCTCGTGTGTCTGGTTGCCACGACCGGGTCCAGCGCGGCGGACCAATCTTCTGTCTTCTCGATGGACAGGTCGTCGCTTCGAGCGCCGGAGACAACGTGGCGGATCAGCTCGCCTCCGGCGAAGCTGATCGCTGTGTCTCCCAGGCAGAGAGTACACGGCTTTCCGGTTTCCTCTTCTTTCTCCACCAGTCCCCTGTCCGCGAGCTGCCCTATAGTTGCCCAGTACAGCTTCTTGAGCCTTTCGGTCTCCTCCCTCTCCGCTGCTGTGCCCGAGGGGCTCAGGCCAAGGTCCTCCCAAAACGTGTCGTCGTCTTCGAGTCCGTGGAAATACGTGACTGCCATTTCAGGCAAGATGCACCCCCACGCGTAGGCAGGGATCTTGCCAGTCTTAATCCGCGTTTCAGAGTCAAGTGGCAGCTGGACGACCGTCTTCCCCTCGTGGACCTCTCCCAACAGCATGTTGCCACAGTCGATGAAGATGGCGCCCTTGCAAGGCAGGAGGGGGGGAAGGGGGGGAGGGGATGGGCGAGGGTGCCAGTGGGGGTATAGTGTTGCGGCTCGGCTGCTTGAGACCTTGCATTAGTTCCTCTCTCTTGAGCAATACATCGTTGACAAGGTTGTCCAGTCCCAGCCTTTTCATCGACTTGGCCGCCGAGAGGTGGGCCAGAGCAAAATAGAAGAGGCCTGGCAGGCCAACAATGACCTCCTCCTTGATCGATGAAATGGCTGTGGGAGAGAGTGGAAGAGGTGGCGGCGTGAGATCTCGCCAAAGTTGTACTCGTGCACGTGGTAGTATATATCGATGTACGTCGACTGGGACTGGGGGAGACCAACTGCAGACAGAGAATCAGATGAAGCAGGCTAGACGTCTTTCAGATCGGTGTCTCTTACTGCTAAGCCACGGCAGCACGAGGATGAAACAGTCCTGCTCCTCGCCTGCTTGCGCCCCTGCCTCTGCGATTGTCGTCCCCATCTTGCTGTTGCGGAATGCCAGTGGGGGGACAAGGTGCTGGCAGCTTCTTCTTCAGTCAGCAGCGCGGCTGCTGCTTTAAAACATTTCCAGTCCAGACACTGGGCGAGGTAGGCCCGCTCCACGACCTTGAAGGCGGCTTCATGGGTCTCCCCGTTCTTGCCGGTATAGACGCCACGGTAGAGGCAAGAGAAGCCGCTCTCTTGATCTTGGCCGCAGAGAATTGCCTGTCGATCTCTGTCTTCCCAATATCTTTGTACAAGGTGATGGTGTGGGAGGGATGGCCGTCCGATGAGGGAGGCCACCGGGTGCGGGGGGGCGCCGGGAGTGTGAGGGTCACATTGAGGTCGGGCGTGTGGGGGGTGATCTGCAGGGTCTTCACGGTCCAGCCGCCGTCGGTGATCATCTCACCTACCCGCTGCAGGCCGAATCTGTCTCCCGTGGTGAACAGGTCGCAGATCACGCAGTGCACACACATCTGTATCCGCTGTCTTTTTTCGGACGCTTACGATCGAGTTGGCGGTGCCGGTGATGAAAGAGCCAAACAATGCCAAGAAGAAGGCTCCGAACAATGAGTTGGTCTCGGAGTTCTTCCAGTGCTTGGCGTTCTTTGTCCTTGAAGCCAAACGAGTCGTCCTGGAATACACAGCAACACACACCTAAATACATGCACACAGAAACACAGTGATCGCCCATCCATTCGCCCATCCAGTCACCGCCGCTAGAGCCACTGACCTCTGCATAGGCCTTAGAGAAGACGGCGCACGAGAAGCCAGCCGCAGACTCCTGCACTGTGCGCCCAGTGGGTCTTGTCCTTGGCGACCTCGAGGAGCTTAACGCCGCCCTTCTTGTGCTTCATTTGCCATGATCTTTCTGGGCCTCCAGCTGGGCCTCCGTGCTGGCCAACTTGGCCTCGTTTTCCGCCGCCTCTCGCTCGAGCCTCGCGATGCACCTCTTGAGGGAACGGTTCTTCCACTTGAGGCGGTCAACACCAGGATAGGGCTGCGCCATGCTGGCCGTGATGCCCTTTTTCACAGCAGCACGCAATAGAGGGAGGGGAAGGGCGAAAAAGGATGGGCGGGATGGCCTCAGGGGCAAACAAAGACCTTCGGTGGGTCAGAGAAGACGCTCGAAGCTCCAGGAGCCGGCCTCCCTAGGCGACCGATGCTGGGTGGCACACGGCACTCGGGCAAACACGGCACTCTCGAGTTAGGTGCCTACGTACGCCTTTTTTTGTGTGTTCTGTAGGGTTTGCGGGGTTTGATTTGTCTCCTGTCTCACCATTCTTCTCTGCCACACTGATGCATCCTCCATCACCGCGAATGGATCCAGGAGTCCACCGGCAGACACAGCGCGTTACGCACGCGTTGCAATGGGAAACTTCCCGCGGCGCGCGCGCGCAGTTGGCAGTTGTTGCCGTGTTATCTCGGCAATTTATGGAGACGGGGTGCCGCTGAGCCTCATGGTTGACGCAGCGCTTAGCGTGTTCACAATGTCCATGCGCATGATCGGACCGCCCTCCATACGTACGTGTGAGTGTATCACGCACATGTACATGCATGTAGGTGTGTACGTATGCGTGTGTATAGCATATAGACAGACACACACACACATCTACAGACATACAGACAGACGCACGCTACCCACCTATGCACGCACGGACACACTGACAGGACCACACACACGACACGACACGACACGAAAGAGAAAGCCGCATAGCACACACACACGTCTGGTGGACGACTGGGCCCCACGAGGATGGAGAGATGGACTACGAGAACTCAGAATGAGGTGGACACAATCACTCCATGTCGTTGCCGTCCTCATCTCCATCGTCGTCGGGGTCCGGGTCGTCCACCCACTCGCTGTCGCCTCCACCCAACTCATCAGCACCATCACGATCACCATTGCCATCAATGGGGCGCTCCTCCGCCGCCTTTCCGTCATTTCTATCGGCCCCATCTGCCGGCCTTGGCCCCTCCGCCGCACCAGCGTCAGGAGCAGCAGCAGCGTCAGCATCACGCTGCTCACTTCCAACCAGAGGGCGCACCACACCGTCAGCCTGCACACACGAACACGGATGCAGGCATAGGCATTCACGTGTAGGTGTGTACACTGTGTGTGCGCGTGGGACACACACACATCCGCGCGCACTTTGGTCATTTTGTGTTCGAGTGTCTTGTACGACAGTTTGGAGGCATCGGTCTTGGATATGGTGGGGTTGGGCGGCGGGGGCGCCAGCAACGATTTGGTATCCATGTGCTTGGCTACCTGAAACACAAACACACACACACACACACATGGACGCGCAGAGGGGGAGAGGCGAGAGACTGGGAACGGTTGCATCGTCGTGCCCTCTCTCTCTGTGCATAGGCGGCATTGTGGCCGACTGACCTTTTGGTATCGTTTCTGTCGATTGTACACGATCTCCTGTATGTTGCTGAGGGCCTCGCGGCGCTGCGCCTCCACCTGAGCCACACCCATCTGACACACACACAGACACACACATCCGTATGGGCTGCAAGTATCCAGGTGGGTGAGTGAGTGGGTGTGCAGCTCACCTTGAGCGGCGGCAGCTCGTTGCTTTGCTTGACCATCTGGTTGTTGATGTGCCGACAGATGCCCTTCTTGCTGGACAACACGAAACTGACCAGAAAGAGAACAGAGGAAGGGCCATATTCATCCGTGTGTGCGCCATCGTGTGTGTTTTCCTCTCGGGCATCCACACGCACATGTGGCCGGCCTTTCTGTACAGCGGCGTCCCATTGGGCACATTCTGATTCAGCTGCACACACACACACACACACATCCACGAGGACACACTGTGCAAGAGTGACATACGTATTCGAGTGTGATGTTGAGGCGCCCGATATCGTATTCCGCCTCTGCGACCCTGGCCCGCATCTCATGCAGCCTCTCGCCATAGTCGTTGTACTTGAAGCTGTAGTCGGCTATCTGACAGTGCCACAAAAAACATACACAGAAACATGCAGCAATGGGTGAGTTGTCAGGTCACTGACTCAACCTATACTGACCGCTTGGTTCTCTTGTGCGATGGCCTCTGCGGCCTCGGCCTCCTTCTGCTCCCTCTTGCGCTCCTTCTCCTTGCGCAGCTGCTTCTTGCCTTTCGCCGCACCGCTCATTTCCTCAGCGACAAATCGTGTACAACGCGCACATTTGGGGCTCAGAACTTCTTCTCCCAGCTTGCAGTGCTCCAAAGTGGATCGTTTTCAAGCTCGCCAAGCGGGAGAAAAATGCAGAAACCGCTGCTCAGGTGCAGAAATGCACTGTTGTGGAGGTGCCTGATGTGGATCTTTGTCCGATGAGTGAAGATCTGGGTTTTGGCCCATGATGCTGAGGACAGTGGAGCATCTCTGGTCCGGCTCTCCTCTGTGCCGAAACAGCCTCCAGCCGCTCACGCAGCCAGCAGAAGCCCGCTATCGGCTCGAGGCCCGTCGATTTATCGCCCGCACGAAGGCCTTTAAGTTCACTGGCGTTGTTGCTCGGAAGACGCACGTGCCGAAGACCCAGTGGTACCTGCAGGCCGAGAGAGAGTTCCTCGATGAGCGTGCGAGGATCCCCGATGGGTACATCAAGCGGCTGACACCGGCCGACATCGGCAGTCTGAGCCCCGAGATGCGGCAGAGTCTGCACCTCAAGTGCGCCAAGCGGATGGATGTGGCCACCTGGCGCAAGTGGGCGATGGCGCGCAAGTATCAGAGGGGACCTACAGACATCAACAGCCCCGCTGTGTCACGTGAGGCAGCACCCAGCACACAAGCAGAGAATGATTGTTTGTGGTCTGGCTGACCAACTCATCGCTCTTTCTCCCGTGCCGTCTGCAGTGTGTTTCTTGACGGAGAAGATTCTGAATCTGCGTCGCCATATTATCCAGAACCCGAAGGACCACATCAAGAAGCGGTCGATGTCCAAGTTCCTCAACCGCCGCGCCCGAGTCATGAAGTGCCTCTACAAGAAGGACTTCGAACTCTACAAACAAGTCTGCGCAGACCTCAGTGAGCACACAGACGGCCACACACGCGGGAGGGTCGATCGACACGATGCCTGCCTGCATTGTATGGTGTGTGCAGAGGTGACGCCCGTGCGGTTTGCGACGCCTGACTCAAGAGACAGACAGAGGGTGGGCACACAACAATTCACACAGCACTGCGTACATGTGTGGCTGATTTGCTGCATCCATGTGTGTGTGTGTGTGTGTGTGTGTATATATATGCAGTGCATCAGCCAGATCGGGATGGATGGCGATCGGTGTAAGTTCCTCATCCGGATGAAGCTGTGGAAGAGCCGAAACAGACCCAGAGCTATCAGAGTCGCCGACGGCAAGGAGATACGGTCAGCCAGCCCAGCCACCCACCCACCCACACACTTGCCAGTTGGCGTAAGGAGGAAAGGGAGTTCTCCTCTCTGTTGCCGCATGTGTGGGCCAGGTACACTCGTCATCCGATGGAGGAACCGCCACTCGACTGGAACAGTAAGACACACAGACGCACCATACCCAGACAAGGCGAGCTTCAAGATGCCAACCATGACTGCGTGTTTGCAGAGGCGAGGCCGCACCCTCCTGTCGTGTCGAGACAGTGGCCGTACGGTGAGTGACTGAGTGAGAGCACGCAGAAGGGAGAGAATTTGTGACGTCCTGTGTGTCTTCCTGTCTTCCTGCCTGTCTGTCTGTCTGTCTGTGTGTGTGTGCAGGTGTTCGTGAGGAGCGATTGCGCGGCGACTATGTGATATACAACCCGACTGAGCCAGGAGTGGGCTACTGTCCCGTGCCGATGCTGTATTGACCCACAGTCAGCCATTTGGCCTTGTTGACCATTGATTGATGTGTGAGTTTCGTTTGTAAGCGTGTGTGTATACACCGAGACGACTTGAGACATGTACACATACAGATTGTCGTTGGCGATCGGATCGCGAAACAGACAGCCATCAGTCAATCAGAGGGACAAGACACCTGCACAGGATGATGAAGCTGTCTATCTCTGTGCACGTGTTGCTGTGCCTGCTGCTGTTGGCCTGTGAGTGTTCCTCGCTCACACCCAAGAGCCCTCGCTCACAACTGAGGACGCGCGAGAGGCTGGCCAAGGGCATCCGAAACCTGCAAGACAAGAAGGGCATCTGGTGAGTGAGTCGAGTCAGTCCTGACTGTGTTCCTCTCTCACTGTGTTTCTCTGTGGTGCCGTGTGTGTGTCAGGACGCCTTTCTATTACCCCTTGTACGGTCTCTCTGGGCAGAAGAAGATCCCGCTCGAGAATGAGCGACGAACCGACTTCTACCTCGAGCACTCAGACGAAGGTGAGAGAGACAGACATTCAATCATCCATTTCAGTTGGTTGCTGTGTGTGCGTGCGGCTGTCTGCCTGATGTCTCTCTAGACCCATTTCCTCCACGAGAGGTGAATGTGCGTCGCATTGCGTTCGAAGACGACACGCCTTCACTGGTACATAAACAAGAGATGAATCATGCCTCTCGCTCTGCCTGCAAATGCATTTCTGTGTGTGTCTGTCCTTTGCTGTCATTACGTCGTGCAGCCGTCGAAGGTCGGCGTCGGTGAGCCCTTCCTGACACACCCTATCGACTTCAACAAACCAGGGCCCTTCAGAATGTGAGCCACAAAGCCGCCACCAACCAAGGAAGAGGAAGACCATTTATTCACTCGTTCTGTCTGTCTGTCTGTCTGTCTGTCCTCTGATGCAGGCTGTATCTGAAGAAGTACTACCGGTACCCAAAACTCTTCAAGTGAACCAACAGCAGAGCAGCAGACTGATGAGTGATGGCGTGGACTGACTGACTCGACATGACACACGCTCGTGTATGATCGATCAACCATACTCGCACTGATGCCAGACAGGCACATGCATCTCAACGCACAATTGATGAGCAGGGAAACAATGTCTCTGCCTACTACTGACAGGTTGTTTGCGTTCGCGTTCGCGTGCGACCGAACAATGCGTGCTTACACATAGCCGCGACATAGCCACGTAGATGCAGTCCTTTAAGAACGATACGTTGTCGGTCCTCATGAAGCATGAATGAGCAGACGGCAGTGCATGGGCATACTCGTGCAGGTCAGCCAATGTGAGTGACTCGTGACTGGTGGAGCGAGGCTGCATCCGTGGCCTCCACCAACGATGTATCACTCAGATTGGCTGACCTGCCGTCGACGCCCTCGGCAGTGTAATGGGATGGCAGCTAGCTAAACAGGCTCGACTCGGCACTTCGCCGGCCTCACCATCAACGCAATGCCGCCGTCGAGATCCAGCCTACAGTTCTTATGCTGCACGACCACCCTCTTTGCCAGCCGATACCCCCCCTTCTTGGCATAAAAGCCTTCGTTGCGCTCTCCAAGCGTCTCGAGGTGCGCAGACACCGCATCGGCATCGGCGATATCCGAGACGAGCTGGAGCAGAGCGGAGCCGACGCCTTGTCCCTGCCTCTGTGGGTCGGCGGCCACCATGGCGACGTGAAGGTCGCCAGTCTTGCCAGACCCTGCCGCTTCCGCCTCTAGTTCCTTGTGCGCCTTGACCAGCGTCGTCTCCAATGTCCGCATGCGATCCATACAACTGCCGAACTCCGCTCCCGTACGCTCGCTATCCGTCGAAAACGGCGGAAGCCCGGCCTTGCAAATGAGACCCAGCTCCCCACAGAACCCGAGCTCATCGACCGAGGGCGCACCCGGCGGACTCACAAGAGTGACGGCGACGACGACTCGTTCCGCCCGGTCCAGCAGCGCATAGGCACCGCCTCTCTGCAGAGCCCAGTGCATGGCCATCTTAGTGAGCCAGCGGAACCACTGCAAACGCTTCTCCGACGGCGGGCCGGGAAGGGGAGCCAACAGGGAATCACACGTTCCGCTGTATACCCACCCTGTCGCTGGGTCCGGGTTGGTCTTCTCGCTGCCGCAAAAGGCGCGAGCCAGCGTCTCCGCGGCAGCAGCGAAGTGGGGGT